CAAAGCATAATATATACACAAAACTTTTAGTAAAATAGGTCATAGAGGGAATAATTTCGATCATTTTAGAAATGCATTCATGTTAGTTGATGGATTTATCCTCAGCTGTCGGCATACAAACAGACTATTCCAACACATGGATACAAAAATAGAAAAGGTTTTTATTGAGTTATTGAGATTTAATAAAGTAATGGAGTAGAAATTTACAAAGGATAGTAGAGAAATCAATAGGTTGTCCACAACATGTACAAAATAAATTTACATACATTTAGAATTTAAAAAAATTAAAGAGTTCTATTTCTTTGGTTAAAAAAAGGGTTCAAGTATAAATATGATTGTTACTAGGTAATCAGGCCTATAAACCTGTTTGTCGACTGGTTACATATGATTTGCAGAGCATAAACACCTGATACCTCTTTTGTGAAGTTAATAATGTAACAGATATTGTTTAGTCTTTGTTTTAGTAAATTGATTAAACTACATTGTATGAATAACTGATTAACAAGTGGGATACAGTGACAGTAACTAACATAAGCAACACACTGTTGTTGGAAGGGGGGGGGGGGCAGGGGGGGTCACAGTGAAAATTATTTATAGGGAGAGTTTGGAAAGAGTTTAACCAGAAAGTGACATTTCCGCATATTTATTTTGAATTCCATCTGTCAGTATAATTTTTACATTCACTTTTAATATAGTATAAAGTATCTCAGATTTCAAGTTTGTCCTACGGTGGCTGATTTAGGACACGGAAAAAAATATCTCGAGCGCTCGAGATAATAAGTCGAGCGCTCAAGATGGTTAAGTCAAGTACTCAAGGTAATTAAGTTAAGTGCTTGAGATACCAAGTCGAGCAATTGAGATAATATAACTGAACATGTCTCAACTGATTTTTTAAGCTGTATAATTTTGTGCATAATTTGATGACACACCTTTTCCTTGTCAGTACCATTGGGGAATTGAATGCTGGACCTTCTGTAAAGGCAAGTCCCTTAGCAAACGCCTTGACTACTATGTCCACCTGTGTGGAATCCAGAAGAGTTAGTACCAGATATTCTTGTTGCTATGTTTGTTTACGTTAAACCACATTTCGAGTCGGTATGTTATAAAATGCGCCTTTTGTTTCATGTTATTGCTAACTTCCATATTGTATTACAGTAAATACTAGTAAACAGTTTAAAGTGGCTCTGTGTATTCCTTGAATATATTGGTACTTATGTACATATGGTATTTTATTTCGCAATTTGATGTAAGTAATAAAGTGATGGAGGTTTAGTGTCATATTAGAGGCAGAGTATGCCGACTTATTATAGAGTATCGGATACCACTCATTTAAAGCTAGAAGTTGACATATGTGTACCTAACGACTGTATATATTCTTGGATTTAAACAACTTGATGTCAGAGTTCTTTTGTGTTCGGGGGGGGGGGGGGGGGTCATGGGTCATTGACTCCACTGCCATGGTTTTGAATCCCCGATTGTAAGTAGGGTCGCCTGTCCAACCTCGTGGGTTTTCTCTGGGTCCTCCGATTTCCTCCCACTGCTTTAAAACCCTAAGCGCAAGCAAATTATTTAAATAAAATTGAACCATATGTTAGTCCCGAAATAACCTAGTTTGTGTCGAGTAGACGTGAAACCCCATTTCTCTCTCTCTCTCATGGGATCATAAGGAAGAACCTTATTGAGTTATCCCCTTATTTACATTCATATTTATGAAAACTAGTGAAGTCTACAGAGGACAGAAGTTTTTAAAACTTGATGGAATTATTCATTAGGGTATTGGGAAGTGTTTTCTGAAGTCATCTTTCCAGTCATATTTTAACTTTTATAGCTTTTGAATGCAATATGGGGAAAGATCTTGATGAAATTTGTAATAATTGGAGAGGAGAAATCACAGATTTATTCTCCTGTAAATCCACACTTCACCTTTAAATACAGCATAAAAGTTACTAACTGTAGTAATACAAACACTAATACACAAGAAAACCCTGATTCATATAGATATGACTCTCTTTGATATTTCTTTATAACTAAGATATCTCCAATGATCCGAAAAATCACACCTATACACCACCTTTGAACACAATTAGATATACGTTTTATACAGAACAATAGAAAGATTGCCTAGTATCTTGAAAACATATCCAAAATGTAAAGGGTGTTTTTCATTCAAATAACTATCCAGGGGAGTTAATTAAGCATATAGAGTAGATATCATTTAATATGTCAGGAGGATAATTACTTTAATTCTATTTCCCATTGACAACTCATATATAGCACCTTCATGTGCAGTCTTTGCAAACCATTGTAAGGAACCAAATATTTATTCTGTAGTTAATAAAATTTGATCCCTGCTAAAAAATAAAGCCAAAAGAATATTGACACCTTTGGTACCTCTGATACATGTTTACATCGGGCAGGGGTATATGACCCTTGGCTCTCCCAGACCTCCATGCATACCAACTGTGTACTGGCCAAAGTTATAGAGTACCAGTAACTGATTGTTGAAGAATGAATGAGTTATGTAAATCCAATTAAGCAAATCGGCAATAAGGTGACAGATCTTTACCAATTTGTTTTAAATTTTCTCAAAATAATTTTGACTTTTAATATTTTAATCAGGGACTGGGAAATCTTCACATACAAATTGTCTGTGTTAAATGTTTGTTTTTCTATTGTGTTTATTTATGTTTTTTAAATATTTAGACATGATAATTAAGATCTAGATCTGGGAGTATATTAATATTTGACATACTGTAACAAATCAGGTGAAGTGATGATACTACAGGATAGATGCTGTCAATAAGGATCAACCCATCTTGTGAATTGATGAAACTATATGAAATATTAGAGTTTATGTATCACTGCATTGGACTTGAATAGGTTTAGAATGTACAGTTATGTAGAATAATTATGAGGCTACTCTTACATAATTATTTAATGATGTTATTTATTGAAGCCGTCCAAACAAAAAAGCATGCTGTCTGTAACCAAGTTATCACTGCCATCTTATTTGCCTGGACCACTAATTGATGGAGAGAGTTAAAAAACAGCTTTTCATATCCAGCCAATATCTTGAAAATATTGGTTTTTAAAAGACCTTCATTTTTATCAGACGCGTTGATAATTATTTATTGATTGATTAAAGTGCGAGACAGACGGGGATTCGAGTGGGTGAGAGGGTGAATTATATCATTACTTAGTGAGTAGCAGAGCTTAAAGATAGATATCGCTTCCATATACTTTAAGCATGTGTTAAAGATGGGGTTGTCTTAAAAATTTACTGCAATAGCAATTTTAAATTGGTGTTTAAAGTTAAGTGTCAAGTATGCAAAAGCAGACTTGACTCTATTGATATTGGATTCAGTCTTATCAAAACCATCTGGTCATTTTGGTTTAACATATTTCTTTTTTATGGTTTATACCATTTCTACTTTTGGGTGCTTTCTTAGCTACTGAAATCAAGTAACAGGGCTTTACCTTGAATTCATTGCAAAAAAACAATGTTGTGATAGTCCAAAATTGGTTCAATTCTGTTCTAAATTTACAAAGATGTGAGCAATTGACAATTTCCCAAAATTCGTTGTTGTCTGTAGAAGATATAAACTAGCCAGTGTTGGTGAAAATCTTTTGATGGGCCTCTTTTTAATCTTATTGAATCTGAGCGGGGAGATTATCTATCGTTGATATTCTTTTTCTTAATTAAATGTAAAATAATCAATTTGTGTACATTTTAACATGGATTAAGCCATAAAATATTAGATATTTTGCTCAAATGACGACCAGTGGCTTTAAACATTTATTTAAGATTTTACAATGACGGAAGTATATTAGACAATACTCAAGTGACAAAATAACTAACACAAAACACATTTGGAGAGTTAATGTTTAATAAAACACTCTATTTGTTATATATCAAAGATACTAATGATTATTATATGAACTATTACAATTCTAAGAAGGACGGATTATACTCAAGAGTCTACTTATTCATGCAACTAAACTCTTTATCTCTGTGTTGGATCAATGCTGTTACATAAACTATCAAATAACTATGAATATTGAGCTCAAGTTATTTATTTGTCTATAATAGCCTGTTTTTTTATGAATAAGATTGCACATGTAACATCTAGATCTTTGGACTTGGTGGTATCTTGCTCTATTATATTTAGTATCATTATGACATTTATTTTTCAACATCCACTTTGTGTGGAAGAAATAATTAAATGTTTGCAAAATAATTTTTGATAGGGTGGTAATTCATTATATATGACGGTGAAATTGACTGGCTTTGTGAGAATGAATATACATAAAGAATAATTGTGTAAGAAATGAAAATAAATGATGAAAGTGAAAATGAATATTTGCTTGATGAAAACTAAACAAGTCTAAAGAATAAATCTTGTACCTGGGAGAAGAAAGGAAAATATAATAGTTTGGATGAAAATGTATGAAAATTATGAAAGAAAGGATATGTGTAAGATAAAAGGAATATAAGAATAAATGAATACTGTATGAAAGAGGTGGAAATGTAAGGATAGTGAATAGAATGTGAGGAAAATGAATGAATTAAAGGATCATATTGAATCGGGTTTCATGTATACTAAAGAATGAAATTGTATGAATAAGAATAGATGGAAGATTAAGGAAAATTATTAAGACTGCTCTGGAATGTTTTTGATATGTATGAAAGCAGTATTTATTTTATAATTGATTTCCTGAAGAGATTATAATATGCAATTTCGATGATTTTAGCAAATATAATTTATGTCAGAAACAATTTTCTGTTGCCTTCAATTAAATAAAAAAAATTAACTGAGTTATTATGCTTCAGGCTATATTTGATTTCAGAATTTTTTCAAACTGATGGAAATGCCCCCCAAAAATGATATTTATTGATATAAAACAAGCAATTTAAGATTTAGATGTTTCATTAATATACTAAGAGAAATGATTTTCATAAATGTCTTTATTCATTAAGTGTAACTTTTGTTTGTTTCCAGTTAACAATAAATACATGACAGAAAGAAAACAAATTTTAAAGCTACTTGTAAAATGTTATCCGTTGCCCTATGTGAAATCTCTGAAACTACAGAAAGTGAATTTTATTTTGCTGTTGGAGGACTAAAAATTGGAGACTTAATTTGTTAGAATTTATAGAAACGATGGGTTAATGATTGCTCATGTTTGCTTATGAAACATAGTTGAGGATTTGACAGGATGTACCCTCATTTATTTGTTGGTAATTCTAGACATATTTTTTTGCGATGTCATTGTAAAGAACTATCAATTAGACTTGTCCTGATGTGACGAAAATAAAAATTGTTTAATGACAGATAATTCATGAATAATAAAAAGTGCTGCTTTTTCTTGCCCTAAAGATTCAGAGATGGAGTTCATGGTGTGTTGTGATTGGTGGATTAAATTATAGTTTTAACCAATCATATTGTTTATCTGTGATATTTGACAAAATGGCTGGTGTATCTAAGCCAATGGAATTAAAGCCATACAAAGACCGACCTCGGATTTATATGTCGAGTCGGACTCATAAGGTTGTTGTTCTGTTTCCGAACGGAGAACTTGTTGAAGGTAGGATATCTTTTTTTTACTTTTTTTTTTTCCTCAGTCATTTTTTATTTTTATGGTTTTTTTTTACTTTTTTTTTCCCTTCCGAAGTGGATTATTAGATACACCAGTAGATTTTTATTGGGAACTTTTTTCTTATGAAAAAAACCCCAAAACATTAAATGCATTAAAAACAGATGCACCACATATACTCATGATAGATCGAAAGTAAATTGTTTAAAATTAGTTTAACAGAATAGAGTATTCAAGTGAAGTGTTTACTTGAATACACTTATTTGTGATATATATGACAGGGTTGGCATAATCTATCCTTTGATCTTTATAGTACTCTTGGGGGGTTGGATGGCTGAATGGTTAGCGTGCGCGCGCTGTATCATAAAGTCTGTCATTGAGTCGACTGGCGTGGTTTCGAATCCCCGGTTGTACGTGACAAGGAGTAGGGTCGCCTGTCCAACCTCGTGGGTTTTCTCCGGGTCCTCCGGTTTCCTCCCACTGCTAAAGACCCCTATGCGAAAGCGAATTATTGAAATAAAATTAAACCATATGTTAGTCCCGAAATGACCTAGTTTGTGTCGAGTGGACGTTAAACCCCATTTCTCTCTCTCTCTCTCTTTATAGTACTCTTGCCCCCCCAAACTCTTTTGAAGTATTTTAAGCCAAATAGTTTTGCAGTCTAATTTTGATGCCCTGCTCATCACCTTTACCAACAAAAAAAATAAAGGTTGTGAATTTTTAATCGGATTATAAAGCTTAGGTACAACATTTTTTGTGTTTGGGAATGTTAAATTATGTAATTTTAAAAATTGTATTATACAATGCCGTCAGACTCGTCAACCCCTTAGAACTGAAATGCAGTAGGGTAGTGCAAAAATGCAGAAGAAACCAGGATTTGGCAGCAGATGTCTAAAAGTGCGTAAATTGACACTTTTCAAGGGTAATTAACATAAAAATGATACATTTAAATACATGTGTCAAGTAGGCCCAACAATGCGAAAATTGTATTAATTTTAATGGGTAATATAGATATGGATATAAAATAAGCACAAGCAATGGTATAACCATATCAAATTTATGTACCGTAATTAATCAAATGACTATAATCTTAAAATTTAACATTTATCCTACAGAAAGAAATAATGTCAATTATAACTATAATATAATTAGATATAGGCTACCAAACATTTTTTTAAAATTGCCTTGTGTTCCTCATTCTGGAGTTTTTTGTTGATATTATTTTATGTAAGATAATTGGTGTGCTAATCAGATTTTATAGTATTTTTACATTAGTAAGACCACAAGAAGAAACTGTAAAAGAAGCTGTTTTGCATAACGACTAATTATCAGCATCAGTCATGTATGGCCATGGCGATTATATTATCTTCTCACAATGTACAGGAATTTTTCTCTGAGATTCCGAAAATCTGTTTTTATACGTGGTCGTATATTGTCATCGCCCCCATCCGCCCGTCCGTCCGGCGTCCACAATAGCTTGTGGACGCTCTAGAGGCCACAGTTAATATCTGATTGACGTTAAATTTATACACAGTGTTTAAGGTCTTGAGACGAAGAAGCCTATTGATTTTCAGCGATTTCCGATAATTATTGCCAAAGTTATGGCCCTTGATTACTTTGAAAAATCTTGTGGACGCTCTAGAGGCCAAAGTTAATATCCGATTGACCTAAAATTTATACATAGTGTTTAAGGTAATGAGACGGAGAACCCTGTTGATTTTCAGCGATTTCTGATAATTACTGCCAGAGTTATGGCCCTTGATCACTTCAAAAAATCTTGTGGCCGCTCTAAAGGCCAACGTGAAGCCTATTGATTTTCATCGATTTCCGATAATTACTGCCAGAGTTACAGCCCTTGATCACTTTGAAAAATCTTGTGGACGCTCTAAAGGCCTAGGTTAATATCCAATTGACTTTAAATTTATACACAGTGTTTAAGGTTATGAGACAAAGAAGCCTATTGATTTTCAGCGATTTCTGATAATTACTGCCAGAGTTATGGCCCTTGATCACTTTGAAAAATCTTGTGGACGCTCTAAAGGCCTAGGTTGATATCCAATTGACTTCAAATTTATACACAGTGTTTAAGGTCATGAGACGAAGAAGCCTATTGATTTTCAGCAATTTACGATGATTACTGCCAGAGTTATGGCCCTTGATCTCTTTGAAAAATCTTGTGGATGCTCTAGAGGCCAAAGTTAATATCTGATTGACTTCAAATTTATACACAGTGTTTAAGGACATGAGACGAAGAATCCTATTGATTTTCAACGATTTCTGATAATTACTGCCAAAATTATGGCCCTTGATCACTATGTGACGCTCTATAGGCTAAATTTATCATCCGATTGACTTCAGATTGATAAACAGAGTTTAAGATCTTGAGACGAACAAGTATATTGATTTTCAATGAATTTTTATGTCCTGAACAGCTAAATCCATGATATTAAAAGTTTTGTATACAAAACGTTAGCATGTGGCAGAACTTTATAAAAACAAACAAATTCTAATGGTTTTCTGATAATTACTTCATGAGTTGTTGCTCTTAATCAGATTTCAGTGTATTATAAATGTTTCATTACCGAAAAAAGAAAAATATGCGACAACTTTTGTTGACTGCTTGGGCGATTTAGCTCTTGTGGTGTATGTTTTGTTGCCTGGCAACCTATCTTTACATTTATTCGAGAGAGCGTTCCGAGTAATTCAGAATCGGCGAGATGTATTCCCATCTTGAAAATGTAGTTTTAGGTTGTGTTGTATTCGAAATATTGTATTTGATGCTGTTCACGCAGAAACAAAAATATTGGCCATTGTGCCGTAAACAGGTCGCTTCTTTTATTCCATACGCGTTTTAAGTGTATTGGAACATGTGTCAATAATTACCTTGAATTAACTCTAAAATGTGTTGAAAACTATTTGACTACAAATCTATTAGCAAAATATTACAACTTACAATAACCCTAAATCGATGTTGTTAAGCAAAGGTCAGGACCTTTTTTGTTTACATGCATAATGTTTACATAATTTTAGTTCCATAAATTTGGCGAGAAAATTAAAGATATGTTTGTTACTGTGCAGCAAAGCGGTACATGGAGTCATTTCGTGGCACTTTACCACGTAATGCGGTACTGTTGACAGGTCTGCGTGCCATTATGATTGACAATCATGATGATCTTTTATAAATACAGGTTATATCCTTCTGTTACTAAAATAGAATGAGTCATCATCATCGTCTTCTTCGTCTTGGGATGGAGTCGTTAAAATATGATTGAGAATAAATTACATGTTGTTGATGCGCAAGTTACGAAACTACATAATCAACTACAGTAATTGATATTATTAATGGACTAGATACGAGTCTACTGGAAAATGGGACTTATCAGCTGTGCCCAGAGAAGGGCAATATACTCTTTTAAAGTGTCTGCTCAAAGGCCAATTGCGATTCTTTTGATAAGTTATTTTTTGTAACTATTGGTGTTTGTGTATAAACAACACTTTACACAAAATTGAATACGGTCCCCTTGCATATTTTATTACAAAAACAGGATTCCAAGCTATTAAAGGAATATGCAGAAAATTATTTTTCTGAAAGATTAAAGGCACAATATTTCAGACTAAAAGCAAATAAAACCATATTAGTCCAAAAGCTTTTAATCCTAATTGATCAATCATAACTTATGTTATTACCATCTGGTATTCACATTACTTCCTGTTTATTTCACCTTGTCAATTTTATTGACTTAAAAATGTCAGTTAATGCATTAGGAATAACTCATTTCTATCCATGAATGTTGAGGTTATGATGGTATCTGACCTAGCCTTTTTCCCTTAATTGACTTTTAACTAAAAACACTTCTAAACCCGTATTTTAGTTAAATTTGAATAAGGAAAATCCTTTTTGAACTTCCAGTGCATTTTGACTTCAAAGTAATGTCATTGATTGCTGGTGATAATTTTCTAAAGTATGTCAAATATCATATGGTTTGCTTCTATTGATCTTGATACACGTAAGGTCACTTACAAAATGCACAGGATGTCTGTGAATACTGGAGAGTTCAATAGTATTTGAATCAGTCACTGTTGATATAAATATATTAAAGTAATAGCCTAAAATTTGCTGTATGCACAGAGTAATCCAGTAGACGTGGTACAAGGGTTAATCAGCGAACTGGATGTATGAGATGTGTTGTTGACGTTTGGGAAAGTAGGACGAGGGGAAATGTGTAGGGAGTGAAGTGCTGTAAAGGGATAGTTAGATGTATTATGAATGGTTAGAGTGGCTGTGGTGTTACGGTGAAATACTATGCCGCCACCGTAACACCACAGCTTTATGATTTGTTAGACAGGAGTGATGTAATGGGTGTCAACAACTGGGTATGCTGGTACCGTCGCAACGTAGCCGTGAAATATATATTGTGGGGGGGAAGGGCGGAAACGGAAAAATATACAATGTTGACAGTATGTGCCAGGCATGAGGCTGCGCAGACCGAGCGGCAGCTCGATAGGGAGTGTGTGGGAGGGTCACCCTCATAATTTTATTTTTTTTTAAATTCAGTTTTCTGTAAGCAGTGAAAACACTATTTTGGCATTGTTTGCGGGGTTAAACCTAATAATCACATTAATACACCTATCTATACACCTATACACCTATACAGTATCTAACAAACGCATTTAGTTCGCGTACAACTTTTAAAAACCGAATGTCAGTATGGTATTTCTCACATAATTGGTTATCGCAAAAACAGAGTAAACTGAAAGCGAGTAATCTCGACTCAAACCTATAGTCTATAGCCTACTTACTACACTCGTCACTAGGCTTCCTATATTATTGTTTGTGGACGGTTTACTACTCAGTGATAAGCCTGCGCCGCAAAAAGAGGTCTCGCCTTTTATTATAAGTATAATGACTTCCTCATGTGTGGCAGGTTAGTTTGCTTCTAAAAACACTGTTTTCCGTTCCAAAAAATACAAAAGTAATTTTCTACCAGATG